TTTGACATAAGAACAATATTACTTTAATGTTAAAGTCGCGTCATAGTCCGAACTGAGTGAACGAATAGTCACAAAGCTGCCAATAAAACATCATAGTTTTAACATTACAATAAGCTTACTTTAAGCGCGTTATGGTACGAAAAGTCAATGTAATGTTAAAGTAATATTGTTTTAAGAGGTTGTGGTAGGCCCCCAGAACCTCCGGGCGGCGTCGTGATGAATGTTCACCGATCCCACGGCGCCGACTCAACCGGCGAGAGGGAAAACTCGGGGGGGTTTTAGTGGGGTAGCCCTCCAGTCTAGAGTGAGAGTCCCCCACACAATCCCTGAGTCTCAAAATCCCTCAGTCAAAAAAAAGAGGCCGGAACCTGGCTATTGAATAGGATGATGTTGGCCATCTCCTAAATACCATATGATTTCATTCAAAACCAAAGGCCTCTCTTGAGGTCGCTGTTGAATGTGAACCAGACTCACTGCAATCGCGGCTCCATGACAAATCAGCGTGTTTGAAGATCAATGATCTAGTGGTCTCAGTCCACTTACCAATTTCTCCACCTTCAGGCTCGCATGCCCAATGTCCAGCTACCACGTTTTGAGCGCATGTAGTTCCTTTCCGGCAGGGGAACCCGGACACCGTGTAATGGAGCCACGATACTGCGACTGTGGAAACAGATAGAAAAGACATTTTGCAAATTACTGGTGAGACTTCTGCCGATCGGTATCCGACTTGAAGTAAATTGACTGTACCGTGACTAAATCCAGACTTGTTTAAATCCACGGTCCATATTAACGGGATACTTCTTAAAAGTCTTTAGTAATTTTCACTGGCTTAGTTTTTGAAGGTTTACAATATGGACTGAACGGCCATTCTGCCTTTAAAGTCATTTTTTTATAATATCAAGGACCGGGACGTCCTCAGATCATTACTGCTTAGCGGCAAATATAGGTCAAGTGGCAGTATTTCCCAGGATGAACTCTTAACGTATAAAGTTCCAAACAACCACAACTATTATCTAGACCTAAATTAGGAAATTCCCTATGCTATTAGTATCAAGACAACAAAATCTACCCCGGGGCGCTACTCAGAACAACCGGATTAATTTAGAAATGTTCGTTCCCCAGATTGATCCCACAGTTATAACCGCTGGGCCACCGAAAGAGAACTCGCAAGCAAAGGCATAAAGTTTAGGTTTAGACATAAAGTTGCCAAATTTAATTTTACGTAGCAGTAAAACTCCTTGTGAAAGAGTTCGTTTCGGGGAAGTACTGACACCTTACCTATTTCTGCCGCAAAGCAGTAATGTTACAGTACAGCATTACTGTGTTCCGGTTTTCAAGAGTAAGGAATGAATTTGAATTACAGGCACATGGGACTTGTCAAATTATGTTTCAGGGTGACGGGCGCAGGGGCAATGCCTCACAGATCTTTGCGATTTAAAGGTCTGAGTGACACCGCAAGTGTTATGGCCCGGTGTGTAGGTTACCATCAGGCGCACGATTTGTTCGCCCCGTCACTTGATAATATAACAATAAAATCTCATGTGCCTCTCTACATGGGATTTGTCAACTCTGTGTCTCAAAGTGACGGGAGCAGTGGCAGCGCCTCTCAGATCTTTGCGACTTAAAACTCTGTTATTTGTAAGCGTGTTGTTTATCATCAGGCGCACGACTTGTTCGTCCCATCACTTGATATTATAAAAATACGTATATACCCGATTTTAAATCCGGAAATGTTGTTTCATTTCCAAATAATATTTAAAATTTCTCGAAAGTCAAATGTGATCATACGTCAAAAGTTATTTTATCACATGAAAATGATAAAAACAATGCCAACATGATATAAATGACGTACATGTAAAATTTTATAACTATCACATTTAAGCGTAAATAGTTAGCGACTAATTTCGATCGTGTAATATTTAACCTTCTCTACTGAAAAGTAGATGTGACATTACTACACCGAGGCTGAGTATTCAGTAAAACTGTCATCAGTTCTTAATTTCATAACTTTAAGACTATAAGTAAACAAAATAACGACTCTACAATTTAAACTCGTGGTATAACTCTACAAAATGCAGCAGTTAATGTTAAATAAATAATTCTAACTGCAAAACTAACTACAATGATTTATACTAACGAAATTGTGTGTTTTGTTATAATGGTCACGTGTAAGTTAAAAGTGTAAATGAATAATGAATTTGTGATGTATGATGTTTACATCTAACTACAATTATATAAAAACCATTTCACACGTTTACAAACTTGTAAAAATACTGTAAAGTAAAAAAAGTTTAGTTATTATAAAAAACATCGCAATAAAGGCAAAAATTTTATAGATTCTGCGGCTTTTATAGATTCTTAATTATATTTTAATTTGCAAAAATACGACGTTATTTTTTTGAAACTCATTATATTATAGTTCAGACCTTTAATGACATTGTTCAGCTCAGTGGCGCGTACCAGAGACAATAGAAATTTGAATCAGAACTAAAAAGAGCGCCTGTATGATAATAATAATATGGTATATAAAGTTACAATTGAAAGAAAGTACAGGAGTAGAAAAAAACTATGATAATCTTACATTAATTTAAATAAATATACTTACTCGGTTCTTCCCTATCCACAGGATAACCAGGTCGGTTTGGTCTTCCAGGATAACCGGGTCTCATTGGTGTTCCTGGATAACCAGGTCTACCTGGTTTACCTGGATAACCAGGACCACTGACCTCTGGAAACCCAGGCTTTACAGGTCCACTCGGGCCAGTAAAATCTGGACTGTACCCATCGCTCGGCCCGATTGGTCCGCTTGGTGGATAGTTTGGTCTATAATCTGGGTCTGGTCGGTAGCCAGGTTGATGACCAGGAACAGGAACTGGTAGGTAACCTTAAATAAGAAGAACAAGTTATGGACAGGCGCGTAGCTTTCCATCAGGCGCACGACTAGCTCGTCTCGTCACTTGATATTATGTTAGTCTATAAGGTATATGTACATGGGTCTTTGTTACCTGATATAAATAAATAAATAAAATAAAATATAAAAAATTAAAACAAAAAGAACATTAGGATAGAGTTATTGTATTACATAATTTTGCTTTTTGTGCACGTAAGCCCGTAGACTAATTTATCCTGTATTTAGGTCTACAGGAAGAAATTTCTTATAGAAATAAGCTGTAGCTTTTATTTGTGTTTTCCTTTTATTAGATGTAATCTGTGCTTTTTCCTGTGCAATAAATAATAAAAAAAGATGCTAATTTGTCACACGATCGGATGTACTTTACTCATCGAGTATATAACCAGAAATAGAGACGAAACAAGGGCCTTCCATCCCTGGCAACATATCAGGCAAATGGGCCTTATATCAGTATTAAATATCAACTCTCGTTTGAAATTTAAATGAGGTTTATTTGCATTGAATAGGTTATTACAGGATGATAGTTATTACATTTGAGTTAATCTCTTCAGCCACTATACAAAAGCATGCAAAATGTAATCTTCTGATTAGTCATTTAGACTAAAATATCCTTTTTTTAACTAGGTATCTATACATTTCATTTCCGTTTTATGTATACATTTGCAACAACAAGTATGTCTGGGTTTCTTTTTGTGCATGGATTAATTTCTATTGATTTTTTAAATAATTTAAGATGCTGTTTGACAAATTCAAGACGCCCAAGCCTCCTTTTCCTCGCAGACTGTCGCATCTATTTTTTTATAGCCTTGCACTAGGGAAACCCTGTATCGCGGGTGCACACACATAGACAACCACAAATTACACCCAAACGCACGAGAGAAATAAAATGTAGGCCATACAAATATTTCTCCCGGCCCGGGAGTCAAACTTCTGCGTGGCAGTCCAGTATGGTAACCATTTCGCCACGAAGGCAGTTGATTTGAAACAAATAATAGGTACGAATTTTACTTTATTCTTTAAGCCTTATTCTAATGATGCCTACTACAGTTGTTGCACACCATTTGTCACTTTTGGCATCTAAGACCAATAAATTACTACCATCGCCATCTTGTAGAATTATGAAATATTAATTTCCCCATTGACATCACAATTTGGGAAATTTATCAACTAATTTTATTCGCAGAATCTTTAAACCTCTCTTACAAATTGCAGCCAAAAAACTGGGTGTCCTTACTAAATGTGTACGAAGCACAAGTCCGATCTTGCATGGAGTACTACAGTCACCTGTGGGATGGCTCAGCGAAATATCAACATGAGACTATTGATTCGGTTGAACCAGGATATTTATTGGCGACGATAAGCTCGAATCTAAACTTCATAGTTTAGCCCATCGACGCAAAGTTGCCTGTCTGTCGGTTTTCTACAGAATATATTTCGGTGAGTGTGCTCATGAGCTCCATCAGCTCATCCCACCCGCCTTTTACCATCGGACATCCAGATGTACGGCGGGATATCAACCTTACTTGGTCGATATTCCCTTCAAGCGTACTAAGCGCTTTTCATCGTCTTTTATTACGCGCACAGCCCGGGAGTCGAATTTCCTGAATGCGACTGTGCTTCCGAAAGTATACAACCCGAGTATCTAAGATGAGATTGAATATGCATTGCCTGGACGAGCTCGTTCCATCGTAGATTCAATCTTTGCTCCAGAGCTGGGTAGTGGGCAAGAGCAAGACTACTTGATTAAATGGCAAATTTTGCCATTTTTCAGATGTGGCTTTGGGTGCGCTTTGGTCCTAATACGACACGTCATTTGACTTTTCTCTTGTCTGATCTAAATAATTACGTCTAGATTTTTCTCTTGCAGTTCTCTGTTGTTTTCAACAAACTTCCCTTTTCCAGTACTGTTTATCACTTTCGGTGAAGGAAAACGAAGAAGAAGGTTCACAACCCACGGAATATGTGCTAAGTCCTCAAACCGGATTGAGCCAGTTTGGTGGACCATGGGCTAAACCCTCGAATGAGACGAGACCGGACGTATAAATGGGTTAATAATGGTGACGATACACGATGTCGTAAATACTGATCTCGAAAGTTAATATTAGCCACCATTACTAAATTATCAGCGTTTATAAATCAGAGATTTGAGTCTGAACCTGGTTTAGCCGGTCCGGAGGGATATCCGGGCGCTGAATCCGGGTAGACCGGGTATGGTTTCCGAGGAGGCCCGTACTCCGGCTTAGGGTAGCCTGGACCACTGGGAGGGCCAGAATCTGGTATGTACGGTGGTTCTGTAAAGTTAAAAGATTGTGGCAAACAAACGCTGTGATAGAAATGGAACATTATAATTCGAATAAGTCATAGCATAAGTCGTACCATACCAAATGATGCGGTCGCGACTTGGAAGTCACCGCAACACATCGCAGTCCCCACTGTCCGACCAGTCGCAAGTTTGATTATATGTTCAGTCTCTCATATGAATTGTAGTACCCGATACTAATAGCCTCAGCTTTGATAACAATTCTTCAAAAGAATTCACCGATAGCTCTATCGCCGACCAAAAACTGCCAGCCACATATTTCAGGGTTCGCGCAAATTTCCTCTAGTCTAAAGCTTATAAATTCCGCAAGGCAAATTCCAAGGAAGAAGTTCGATTAAATTCAACTTCCCACTTCTAAAAGTTAACTCAATTTAAGTTAGCCTCAAAAATTGCAACAGAGTGTTAAGGTATCTTGTTACCTCTTGGACCTGGTAAATATCCGGGTGGTCCAGAAGGACCTGATCCCGGGAAAGAATCTTCAGGTGGTGGAGTCAGCGGACGTGGTAGTTCCGGAACGGGTTGACTGTTGAGGAATAAAAAATTAAGTACTAATATAATCCTTGAAGGTGTTTGTACAGACAGTAAGTATAAGCTGCGAAGAAGTAATCAAAACGGTACTTTCCTGAAAAAATAGCAACATGGACGGTTTTCATCCTTTCAGCGATCAAAATAAAATGGATAATGTTTTGTCAAGGTTAATAAGATCTTTCAGCACGACGATAAAAGAAAGTTAAAGAGCTTACGAATTCGATGATATTGTCGTACATTTTATAGGCAGCAGTAATATCTTTAAATCAGGTGGTCCATTCTAACTTTAACCATAAGAAAAAAGACAAACCGTAATCTTGAAAACTTTTAGGAAAATTTTAGGAAGTTCATTAAAACTTCCAAGAAAGTAAGGTAAGTGGTTTGCGGAAAAACTAAACATTTGCAGTTAATTCAAGCGCACATTTGCGAGTGCATCAGTTTAGTCAAATTGAAAAGTGACAAAGTTTGGATTACTTCATGTTACATTATATCGAGAAAAGGAACTGACTAGTTTTTTTTAATAATATTGAGTCACGAACAAGTAGTGCGCCTGATGGTAAGCTACACGCCTGTCCATAACAGTTGCAGTATCACTCAGAGCTTTAAGATCTGAGGGGCACTGCCACTGCGCCCGTCACCCTGAGACAAGTTGACAAGTCCCACGTGCCTGTAATTTCACCAGCACCCTTTCCCTTCAGAACCGGAACACAGTAATGCTGACACTACTGCTTGGCGGCAGAAATAGGTAAGATGGCAGTACTACCCTGGATGACCTCTTTTACAAGGCGTTCTACTGCTACTAAGTGTAGTGATGATACTTACTCATTGTCACTTCTGCCATGTACCTTCCTCCAACACTGTCCATTGAACAAATCGAAGGCGAACAACCAGTGGTCTTCGCTATGCTCATAATCAATACCGCGTTGAAGATCGAACAAACGGATTTCTGAGAGGAAACAGTTGTCTTTGTCTGGAGAGGCGTTGTTGCTGCAAGAAAATTAAAGATAATTTGAAATTGTCAAGATGATAAAAAATCAACTCTTTTTGGTAAGGCGTAAAGATTTCCTTGAGAAGAAATAGTAAAAAATGTTAAAAGTTTATTTTTTTGCTTGCAGTCCTACAGGGCATCCAATTGAACCCAATATTCTTTCCATTTCATGGGTAAGCAAAGTACACTTAAAATCATTATATTTTATTATATATTTCATTCGTAAGGCAGATTTCCTTGAGACATTTGAGAAAGAAACTCACTGGGTTTCTTTAAATAAAATGATTCAGTTGTCAAAACGAAAGAAACAATCTAAATAGTGCAGCAGACTACATCCATGATTTTCGTGGTTTCATGCTTTATTAGCCGAGATCAATTTTGTCACAAACGTTCATTCTCAATCATCAAGTTTATCTGAATAACCAAACCAAAAGTCAAAACCACTAGAGACCACAAATAATCTCCACTTGTGATCGTTTCAATTTGCTTATAAAACTTTTCACTCTTGGTCACGGTTAGCTCATAGAAGAGTTACGGCCTATGTTGCGTATCTCTGAATCTTATTACTTACTTGAAAGAGAAACTTAAGCATCTAAATGGTGCGTCGGTACACGCCTGACCACACGATTGCTCGTCTTTGGCTTTAGTCTGGCCTTTGACTGCTGCACCTCTCAGCTTTGCTGCGTTGTCGTATTGAAGGTAGCATTCTAGAACCGAGATTACACAATTTGACAAATTCTGCTACCAAAATGCGCCTCCATTGTAAGCAGAGAATGTTCTGTTAACCGATTGGCACTATAAGTAATAACTATAGATAAGATGTTAAAATTTCTCAAATCTTATCCAGCTCTAAAATTCAGGCTGAGGATTACGGTGCTTGGTCCATAATTATATAAATTATTTCCCACCGTGGCCGAACGGTTACCATACTGTCTGTCTGACTGTCACGTAGAGGCCTCGGGTCCGATTCCCGTACCGGAAGAAAAATTTGTATGGCCTACATCAATTTCTTTCGTGAATTTGGGTGTAATTTGTGGTCGTCTATGTATGTGCCCATGGTACCTGCGATACAGTGTTTTCCTAGTGCGGAACTATGAGTAAGTGTGCGTTATTATTGTTATTTGTTTCTTTGGGTTGCGAGCACCGCTCTGGATCGTGGTAGGTTCAGCAGTTGTCTATTCTCCATCCAGGGAGGTAATGCTGCCAGTATAATGGGAACTTTTGAGCCGGACACGATACAGAGCTAGATTATATTTTAGGTTAGGAATATTTGACAAAATCTCTTATAAATCCCAATTTTTTTGTACTTTAGTACATGTTGACAAAGCCCAATGCTGATCTTTGGGTTGTACATTTGACTATTTATTATGTAATTTGTTAATCTATGAAATGAATAAAAGATATTTGTTTCATGTAGTTCGTATTATGTTCATGACTTTCATGTAATAAATGTTACCTTTGACGTATGATCACATGTGACTTTATTATACTTAAGGTGCGATTTGGACGTAAGTTGTTGGGGATTCCTCGTGGGAGAACTAACCTACTGGTCAGGGCACCACTGACACGATCGAGAAGACTTTGAACGTTATTGATGGAAAAATTAGCCTGTTCTCTGTGTGAGCTCAATAAAATAGCTTTATTTGTAATATGTTATGGAATATAATATCATTTTGTAATTTAATATTGTATAATATCATTTTCACAGATACAGTAGAATTTTTGGATATAATATTTATAATAATTTTTGTTTGTAAGTAATGTTCAACAAGTGATAATTTTGGCTACACTATTGCATTAGGTTAATCCTGTAATGATAGTTACTAGCTTATGTGTGTAAAATAAATAAATAAGTAGATTTGCTGTCCTAGTCTCTCTTAATAGCTACGTTCTATCTTTTACTCCCGACAAAACACGAAAATTATCGGCGGTAATCGGCCCCTTGTTAAGATTTTGTAGAATTAATTTCTTTTTAAATTGTAATTTAGTTTTTTTGAATGGCAGGATGTTTCGCCATCATAGTATTCAATTCTTTTTTGTGAAATTACTCCGCTAGTTTGTTGTAATTATTAAACAAAGATCGAACACAGAAAAAAATCACTTCGATCAGGTTGGATTCGAACCAACGTCTCCCACCAAACCGTGCCAGACGCTATGCCAACTAAGCAACAGAACAAACCATCCATATATTTGTTGCAAATTATTGTCTTTGGCTTTTAGCGGCATTTTTGCCGCTAAAAGCTAAAAAATCTATGGCGGCACATTTTTTCTTCGCTCAGGGAAGTACCTTTGCAGCTACCAGCCGCTGACTAGAGATGTCACTTTAATAATTGTAATTGTTTTTATTTCTTCTCATATTGTTCAATTGTCTTCAAAATCGATCACAGATTGTCTGACCTACGTATACAGTTAGATGCTTTAGAGCATATCAAATATTACCTCCAGATTCCCTATGATGCACATCGTCATACAACGCCGGTTCGCACCCTCTTCCATAGTTCCCTCTAGCATAAAGCTCATGTCCTCGATTGGGCTTTAGTCCTCGATCAAAGTCCAATGATGTCGGTGGTGATGACGTTAGGATACAATTCTCTATGTCGTCCCCTATTGTTAGGGAGTCGAATCTGGAATGACAAGATTTTATCAAACTAAAAGTTAAGATTTTAGAAGCACGTCTGGGTGAAGTGGCAAATACATAAGGTGGAATACATAAGGTGAAATACCTTATGTATTTCTGCCACCAAGCAGTAATATGAGCATTACTGCGTTCCAGTTTGGAAGGGTAAGGGTGCTAGTGAAATTACGGGCACATGGGATTTGTCAATTTATGTCTCAGGGTGACGGGCGCAGTGGCAATGTCCCTCTGGTCTTTGCGATTTAAAGCTCTGAGTGGCACTGCAACTGTTATGGATAGGCTTGTCGCTTACCACCAGGTGCACGACTTGTTTGCTCCTTCACTCGGTATTTTAAAAAACCGAATCTTTACCTGCCTGGTTTATGTTGAATTTAAAATCAACTATTTAGCATTGAGTTTAAGGTTTAATTATTATTTAAGATCTTCTTTTAATTTATCTGGTCATTATTTCACTTCTATATTAGTCATTAATAATGGACACTACCTAAAACTAAAGCCCCTGCAAAAGAAAGCATGAGATCGGATACACTCAGCTTCACAAGCTCCCAGCCCGGCGACGGTCAAAGCTGCTCGGACGTTTGTACCACTCACCACCGCGCCGGATCGCACGTGCCAGAAACATTCTAAAACAAAAAATGTAAATGCCTTTAGAGATTTCAGAACAGCTGGTAATTACAATTTACGTTACAACCATCTTGATGCATGAGAAAAACTCTAGGCCTCTGCTCTACAGGCTTCTATCTAACAGATTAACCATGAAAGGAAAACACAGTTTGTTAGCATTACTATCTTGCCTCTTCTTGATTCATTGTTGTCATTTAAACCGTTATTTCTACTCGGCGGAATATTGATTCATACCGAAATACAAGTGTCAGTTATTCAGTATGTTTTGTTTTTATTTCACTGCTCGTGTTCTGCACATTACACTGTTTAACAATTGGATATTCTTCCCATAGACATTGTGACCTTGGACCTTAATTATCTCATGTCATATAACGAAATTCAAAATTTGAGATTCGGCATGAACTGTAGAATTATATTTTTATACTAATTTTAAATTCCATTTGCTTTCGGAAATAGCGCAATCTCATTGGATGCCAAGAAAGCTCCGCTCGCTTCGAATACTCCCTGTCAACATTTTGACAGTACTGCCGCTTAAACTGCAGTTTCTGATAAATATCATTCAAAAATTAGACAACACTAAGTTAGATAGGCTCGAGTTATCAGAACCGTTGTCGCCAAAACTCATGCATTCATTTTTAAAACACTACGAAATATTGATACTGGTTGGTTGTAGTATCAAATTTTATAAGAAATAAAAAATCTTAGCTGTTAATAGAATTTAAACTTTACCCTATTGGCATATCGTTGAAAGTTCAATGTCATCAATACCTATTATTGCAAGTTACGACATTTTTATTTTATATGAAATTTCAATCAATGTGCTGCCATCTAGCGGTTAATATCTGAACAATGACGAATTCAAGACGTTACTTAGTTATCCAAAAAAGAAGCGACCATTATTGCAGCGCTGTAACTTTTACTTTCGTTTCTTGTAACAAAAAATTATTACAATTAACAGAAAAATGAAAATTTATTAAAATTAAATATGATCAGATTTATGATGATACGAAACGCCGCCATAGATAATATACCGAACAAGGCATTTTTCTACGATTTTCGAGGCTTTGCGCGAGATAATTGACACGACCATAATGTATGTACAAAGCGAAAATGGAGAACTGAGCTTCGCGTACTGTTAGTTAGCACACGTGCAACGTAGACTAAGCACTTCTATTATGTTTATGGTTCTGTGGGCACAACAGTAATGCCACCGAACCGTCATTCAACTTACACGGTCAGCTGGTAGCAGCGTCATTGGGTCCGATCTTGGACTTTCAAGGTTACTGGTTAAAAGCGCTACTCACCACTTTCAACCCAAGGTTTCGTGCTGATACTGGAGCATCCTTGGTCCTGAGGCATGGCGTAAACATCCGAGCTGCTGTCGGCTGACAATTCCAGTCCTCGGTAAGGTCTTTCACTGAGATAGCAGTTGTCTGAACCGTGTGATGTTGAATACCTGAAAGAGAGTTTCTAAGAATTACCTTCTCAATATTATAGATATATATTAAAATTAATCTATAAAAACAAATAGATGTTGGTTCAATTTTTATTGAATTGATATTCAATTATTTTTTGTGAAATTACTCCACTAGTTTGTTATAATTATTAATACAAAGATCGAACACTCAGAAAAAACACTCAGAAAAAATTCCTTCGATCCGGTCGGATTCGAACCGACGTCTTCTTGCATACCGTGCCAGACGCTATACAAACTAAGCCACGGAACGAACCAACGGACCTCACGAATTTTTCTATGTGCTTGCGTCGTGTCTTTGTACTTGGTCTTTCAACGACTTTTTAGTATTAAATAGATGTTGGTTTTGTGTTTGCATGTGACACAAAGAAGAAATTTAAATTTGTAAAAGCAATCATCATCAGCCATTTAATACGATAGGAGTTTGCATTCATTTCATAAATATGATTCTTTTCAATAACATAAAAATCTCAATTTCCGCCTTTTGGGAGTTCTCTCCTGTCGGTGGTTGAACAAGATCATGGCAATCCTGATTTTGAGAGCGAGATGGTACTGTAAAATCTCAATCGTCCCTTCGTTCTGTGTACCATTTAGATTCTCGGATTTCTCTCAGAGAAAAGTTTAAGGACACTGGTATCATGACTGTGGCATCACAGTACATTTACTTAAACATTTTGTATGCCCGGAAAAATATACGTAATTTCATTAAGAAAGAAGATATCATAATATTAACCTTAGAACTAAGTCAAACTCATGGCACTACGATTTCGTTTAACTAAGGTAAACGATTCTTCTATGAATATATGGATATTCCCTTCTACAAATCCTGGGTCTTCTCGGAACTAATTATGTTCGGATATGCGCATTATTTATTGAAATTTGACTAAACTTGCAACAAATTATTATTTTCTATAAAGTATTTGCTACAGATTACTGTCTCAAAAAAATATAATTTCAGTACAAAGTACTAAAAAAACCGACCTCAAAAGTTCGTGGAATTACATCTATTTGTCAAGTTTTTTTGTTGGATAGGACGCAAATCCGGATCCATCCCCTGGTGTGCCACCCTCAGAGGTTGAGTATTTTCTTCAAATTTAAATGGGTCCAATACTGAGGTACCCTCTTTCCAACAAAAAATAATCATCAACATCGGTTGACAAATGCCGCAGGAGTTTTCGCCTAACATACATACAAAAAAAATACAGTCGAATTGAGGACCTCTTTTTTTTTTGACGTCGGTTAAAAATGATATTGTAGTTGTGTTTCTGTAGGTAATTAGGTATTTAAATACTTTAGCCATTTAAAAAATAAACAAGAGCAGAGAATATAGAATAGAGAACGGACACTCTCCGCCCCTCCCTAGTTTTAGACACCGCACCACGCCCCGCACATTGCCGGTCACATTGACTGAACGACAACAAGGCTGCCTTTGATATTTGAATATAGTTTTCATTTATTCATTACGAAACTTGTACGTTAATATAAAACATCATTTTACGTTACTATTTACAATTATACTGTGTACGGCTGTTTATCATCATTTTCCGAAAGATGAAACGAATAAAAAAAAACTTATGTCTGGGACTCATTCAGTTATTGTTTTCTTCAATTATTTACTGCAGAGTAATATATATATGCATAAAAATGCAGATTTATTATATCATTATAATGAGACGCCATGACTTCGAGAATTTTCTATTCGTACTGCCGATAAATATTACGTAGGTAGTGAATACATATTATATCTAATTATTACCTAAACTTGGACAAGCAATTTTAAATACCTTGGTTACCTTACTTAAAAGTACATGTCCGAAATATAACGTTTTAAGTGCTTTTAATATATTTTTGAAATAAATCTTCAGTATTACTCTAGTTAGGGCATTAATGAAAAACATAATAATATATCGATATAAATACTTAATAGACAAGTATAATTATTAAGATTCTATTAATAGAATCATAGATAACAGTTTGGCGTCAGAATTTTCGCTATAATGCCGTTCTGACCACGTCACGTAATAGTGCGAGAAAGTGATGGGTACCTAATCACATTTGTGCGTGTGCAGATAGCGCCTTGCTGTATGTAGTAGTAGTAAGTAAATAATTTTCGACCGTGTATGGAGTGTCCTTGTCACACAAGAGACAACCTTTTAGTTAATGTTTAGAATATAATCAGGAAAAAAGATGCAATTCTGCCCTCGCAACGAAAAAAGGCACAACTATGCGTACTTTATAAAGCAGTTGTGCCTTATTTCGTTCTGAGGGCAGAATTGATGGTGAAATGATTATGTTCTTTCTAAGAAAACGTTCATACTTTAGGTAAATTAACACCTCACCCAATTGCGATCACTAAAGTATCGGCATGCTATGATGGCCGTTTTGACGTTTGGTTCTCGAACTCGACATTTGTTTTTCGAAATTCGAAATTTAATACGATCGTCACTTATAGGATCGCTGTCCAGCACAACGCGTCAAAGCAAAGCGGTTTTAAATTGACGATAAACTAAGTAAACATGTTTATTTTTGTTTTATTAAAACTTTTTAATCACCTACTACTTGCAATACTAGTTATAAATCTAAAAACTTATAGATGCGATTCGCATTTAATTATATTTTTTTTATAATGTATTGAGATTTGACCTCACTATTGTAATCTGTCATAATAACAAAAGCGGCAAAATTTTAACTACTCACCTGTAGCTGTATGACACGCATTTGAACTCCCTTTCATTAAAACAAGCAGCTTCGCACTCGACAACGTTCTCTGCATATAGAGATCTCCTGATCGCTCCAGACCCAAGGGACATTCCCGGGCGACGACGAGATGAACAATCTGGAATTTGTAAAGATAGATTTATCTAATATGATAGATAGATAAAACGTTTATTGTCTTGCATCACACACAATATAATACAATAAATCGATACCTTTAATCATCGAGTATACAACCAGAAATAGATACGAAATAAGGGCCATTCATCCCTGGCAACTTATCAAGCAAATGGGCCTTATATGATATAAGTTATATCACTTTTAAATATCAACTCTCGCTTGCACTGGAATCACAGATTAGAAAGCTGAAATAGTACAGCGCCAACAACTGTTCTGTATTTATTTTAATAAAGATAATATCTCTAACTATGGGGAGCTGTTCCATTCGGTGGTGTGGGAAAAACAGCAAATCAAAATTACAAAACAAACGGAATCACAATTCATACGAGTATATGTAACTTTTCAATTTTCGTCCATTATAGCAATGCTCAAGTTAAACTGGTAGATTTGAAGTTAAACCATTGACGACAAACGTCAATTGTTTCGAATTCGGGCTGACCAATCGAAGCGCAGTTGTCACCGTAATGATTTGGCAGAATAATTTTCAAACCAATTCAATGACATTTTGTCTCTATTTCTACTTATATACTTGGTGCGTCCAAAGAACACTACACCAACTTTGTTTATTAGTAATTTTCAGTTATTTTTGTAAACAGCCATACATTGTTGACAGTCAACCGTGATCATAGGACCTGCAAAGGGGCCGAAACGTCGGTTTGTTTGAAAAAACAAATATACGCGATTTAAATCCGGAAAAATAGTTTCATTTCCTATGTGTAACAATCGCGAAAACCTAAGAACTCAATACAGCCATTTCTATTTACTAATATTATGCACCCCGAATGTTGAAAAAAAACAAAAAATAAAATAAATACAAAACAGGTCCAAAAATTAACTTGACGAGGTGTTATTAGAGGTGTCGCAATGGATTTGAAAAGAAAGACATAGAAATACAATTAAAGGTGGGAATAAAAACAAACAAAAACCACCACCACCACCTTACCTATTACCGTGTTCGGGTTTTGAAAGGTAAGAGTGCTGGTGAAATGGGACTTGTCAACTTATGTCTCAGGGTGACGGGCGCAGTGGTAGTGCACCTCAGATCTTACAAATTTAAAGCTCTGAGTGGCACTGTAACTGTTATGGACAGGCGTGTAGCTTACCATCAGGCGCACGACTTGTTCGTCCCCGTCACTTGAAAAAAAAAAATTTACAACCCATTCTATTTCCATTCCATAGTCCGCCACGATAACCCAATGCGGGCAAGGACTTCACACGATTTCTGAGGATTGTGAACGTTCTTCGACTTTCCTTCACCGAAAAGCTCATGATCAATTCCAAATTAAATTTCGCAAGTAAATTCCAAGAAACTCAGAGGTGCTACCCCGGAATCTAATCCAGGCGGTAGGTCAAACTATCAAAGCTACCCCGACTTTTTTTAACAACAAGAAAATAAATGCAAATATGTAAAAGTAACAAAACATTAACCTAACCTAACAGATAATGATCTACAAGGTTGTGTATGCTGCAGCAAGTCAAAATCGTAGCTCCTAACACCAAGTGCCAGGACGACCAAGTAGTGCGCCTGGTAATAAGCGACACGCCTGTCCATAACAGTTGTAGTGCCACTTTAAATCGCAAAGATCTGAGTGGGCACTGCCACTGCGCCCGTCACCTTGGGACATAAGTTGACAAGTCCCATGTGCCTGTAATTTCATCAGCGCCCTTACCCTTCAAAACCGGAACGCAGTAATGTTAACATTACTGCTTGGCAACGGAAATAGGTAAGGTGGTAGTACTACCCTGGACAAACTCTTTCACATGGAGCTCTACTGCTGCTAAAATATTGCCTAAAAGCAAAGCATTGATTCAAGCTTTCACCTTCAAGGGTAGCACGTTACAGCGCATCGAAACCAGAAATGTTGTGAAGTTGACATTGATATTGATTTTTATCATCAGTAAATTCACTAAATTAAGTATCTCTTGTGGAGTCATTACTTCTAGTCTCAGTATCGACCACCGTACTGCAAAAAAGTGACCTGCTTGTCGTTTTTCTGTCGGATACATTTCGAAGAACGTGCGTAGAAACTTTACAATTTAGTTCCACCCTCACCATTTCTTCTTCGGCCTACTTAAAAGTCCGATACATTGCATATTTATATCGTTGATATACCATCCATTTGTACGAAGCTTCCTCCTTCCTAATGCGTAATCTGTGTTTCCCGAAAAGTATATTTTGTGGCTATTTAAAGTCGTCTGTTACGTTATCGTTCAGCACCAGGAGTGATATGGACTATACAAAAACAGGAATTAAAAAACTCTAATTAAGTATACTTCTTCAAACAAAGCCTTACCTTTGACAGCAACATCATCATCATCCCCTACTTCCCGTCCGTAATAATGAGTATGAGTTTTCTTATAGTAATTTGACTCTCCATAATCCAGACCAGTCGAAATCCCAGGGTCACTCCATCTACCTCTTTTCCAATGTCTGAAATCTCCATATCGGTTATGTCCTCCTGGTGCCCAAGATTCTTTAATCAGGTTGTAATAGTTGAAACCCTGGTTGTAGTGAGGCTTGACTCCAAAGGTTGGATCGATGTCATTCAAACGCCAATGATTCAGAGATTTGTGATAGTCATTTCTGTTTTTATAATAAGTGTTTCCACCATAGAAACCTCCGTATTGTCCCCATGTTTCTTGATCGTCATTTGTCCGTGCCATACCTGTAAAATATGATTTATAATGTCATTATTGTAGATGGTTTCGGTGAATTACCAAATACATAGTTGTTAAGATTTGTTTGTTTTCGCGAGCTGAAAAGAATTTTCATAGGACTGCTCCAAATTTAAATCACGGTAACTTTCTTCAAAAATCTATTCCGAGATACAAGTGATGCAAAATCTCGTTTGTTTAGAACGACTTGTTCTTAGTGTTTCAAGCTTTACCAAAACAGCGGGGTCACTATTGACGTGGACTATTTTAAATTTAAGTTACTGTAACTTTCTTCATAACAACATTCATACAACTGACCAAAAATCACGTTTGCTTAGAACGTTTCAATCTTGGTGTCAAAGAGTGGAGTCACCATTCTTGACGACTACAGTAAGTTAAGGGTTACCAACTTTGATATTTTTTTTTGCACACACGCAAACACTCATAACCCCACAACAGAGAAACCCAGTGTCGCGGTGCCATGGACACACACATAGAACACTACAAATTACACCCAAACTCACGAACGAAATAAATGTAGACCATGCAAAATATTTCTCCCAGCCCGGGAATCGAAACCTGTGTAGCAGACCAGCATGGTAACCATTCGGCAACAGAGGTTAGGTTAGTTAAATAAATGTTAGGTTAGTTAAAAATTTACTTTAATTAAATTTAAATTTACTAGGTTAGGTTAGTTAAATAAATGTTAGGTTAGTTAAAAATTTACTCCTGAGGTTCCGAGGTCACTGATCCATAGCAACTAATTTAGCAAACCAATTCCTTTAAATTGGTTCAGTTCTGAGATCTTTGAATACCTTAAGAGAACATCTTATTACTCTAGCACCTCTACATGCTGCAAGCCGTAGTTCAAAAAACTAAACGTCCTGCCTTTATCAAGCACATATCTTCAATATTTTAAACCATGTGGCGAAGTCATTCAAGATCAAATAAAACTATGCATCTTTTGAATACAATGCACTCAATTTTACTCATTTACAGTATTTTGGAAAACAAACGTATTTTATTATATTGAGGTCCGAGTTTAGTAACATACAGTAAAACTAACCAATCTGGTACGGCACAAAGAACTGGTCCTCGTACCGTCTTCTGTTATATCTGTTACCTCTTCTGTCGTCGTAGAACCTGTTGTAGCTTCTAGAGTTCCAATCCATTCTTTCTCCCCAGTCTTGGTGTTCTCCTGAAAATATTTGTTTCAAGTTTTCAACAACCAATATACAGTTCATTGCTAGCCACTGGAATTATTCTTGTCCATTATGTTCGCCTAATGCAGGATGGAGACTTCTTATGTTCACGAAGGCCGTAAAGGTGGTTTTCCAGGTTGGAGGCGAGACGAGAATTGAAATCACTATGACAAAATTTCAATTCTCTCCTAACCCATTTTCGATGGAAATGGTCTGGATTGACGAGGATGGACGAGGTGAATTGAAATATTTGTTGATGTAATATTGAACCGTATTGCCGCCTTAGAGTATTATACTCTGCAACGGAAACACGAGTACTCGCGCTAACTCTCGCGATAACTCGCGCGAGCAATTAATGGCAATTTTCGGTGGATAGGCTGACGAGATTTCAATTCTCGTCTCTCCTCGAATTTCGATTTGATTGAAATATAGAAGAGTTCTGAATCGGGGGTCCTGGCTAGAGATGTCGCCATTAAATCTTGGTATTAATAATTACAACAAACTAGTGGACTAATTTCACAAAAAATAATTGAATACCTATCAATTCAATACAAATTTAATAACATAGTAATTTTATCAAAAATATTTTTTCCAGTTTTTGTTGCACTATCTGACATTTAGGTCCAATGATATTATACTTGTAACCTTTAGATCTGTATTTAGTAGTAAGTTCAAACGTGCAAACGTCCTCCACAACGAGCTCCAACCCCGCTCCTGTGCTTTGCATCCGTCGGACAGAGCGATCTTTGTCTTTAGTTATCACCATTCAAAGCGATCTATTTAATTATTTTTACTTTTGTACGAAAGTAAAATCTGATGCACTATTTAAAAGTCATGGAACAAAAGTTGTTGTTTTTGTTGTTAGTAATATAGTCCTATGAGGTTGCTGTTAGTATTTTACAAATCAGCAAATCATTTACAAGGAATCAATTACAGCCCGGACATTTTTGAAGTGTCGAGGTATTCGCAGGCTAAGGAATTATTTCCTTTGATTACTAGCTCTTGCTCAAACTTTCGTTGACAAAAAAAGACTTACCCATAGCCGACGAAGGTTTTGAAGACAAAAACCCAGAATGCAATAACCCTGGTCCCCTCAGCGTTTCAGGGCAATAGGGTTCCAAGCTATTACGGTCGATTTCATAAAAGTCGTAGTTCTTGTCTTCGACGAAGTCTCTTCGAATGTCGAAAGCTTCGATTGGCTTTGTCATCAGCTCGCAGAGACCTTTGCCGCGGAAGGAAGGGTCCAGTCTGAAAATATTATTTGGCAATTAATTACACAAACATTTATTTATTTATATTCAAAAACTTAGTCTATTATTACACGTTATCAATTTAATGCAATAAACCAGCAAAATTACTACATTACAAAATATTATGACAACATATTTTTCGAATCTAAATCGCGTACATTTGTTTTTTCAAACAAACCCACGTTTCGGACACTTTAAAGGTCCCATGATCCGACTACCTGGCCCCGTGACCCGTCACCAGTCACCCGTGACCTCGCGCCTATATATGTTTTTTTTTTATTAAATATTAGGCGATTTAGATGCGAAAAGTCAGGGCTCATTGAAAACCAGCGCCACAGTCAATTGCGGCTGTGGCATAAGCTGAATGAAGTCCTTTTGCATACGCCACAACCGCACACATGACGGTACAGCATTTGTAGTTGTTATATTTAGTATTTTTTGTTTTGCTCTTTGTTTGTTATTGTCTTATTTCATTTTATTTAAATTTTGTTTATTACGTCTTTTTGTTTTGTTTTGCTTGTCTAAGTAGTATCAATATTTTTTTTTTGTATCTATGTGTTGTGGCGTTGCAATAAATGTCTATTCTATTCTATTCTATTCTAAGAGTACATTCATTTCCTATGTGTACCTAACAATCGCGAAAACCTAAAGCCGGGTACTCATTAGCTGGCTGTAACTGTAAAGTGACAGATACAGTAACGAGGTTCTAGTGTGTATGCTTGAAACAGTCTTAAATTTGACGGCTCACTGCGAACCGCACGCGGCAAGCTCGCGAACCACGAACACACTATGATTTTTGGTTACATAACATGCAACTGTTACAGTTACAACTCGCTAGTGAGTACCCGGTTTAAGAACTCAATTTGTTATGCCGGGTTCACGAGTCATTCACTTGCGTTTTCCGCTTGCTTGCGTGACTCGCTTCGCGCATACGCAAAGGTCTGTCGCGTACGCGCAGGTAGGACTGGTCACGAGTCGCTCGCTTGCGCCGGCCGCTTGCTTTGCGTTGGATTTCTTTTTGCGTTGCATGAGTTTGATATCTAGCAAGTTTGATATTTCCACATAAGCAACAAAGAATGTTTATGGAGTACAGCACCACTGGCCAATCACAGAGCAGCAGCCTATTCGCGCGTGATCGGCGCGTATAAAATAGGTACGCCGCGCGCCGTGTTCATAGGCTCTTTCAGTGTAATTAATGTAATTCTAGTGTGTATTATTCTACAAATTTCCAAGCTTGTAATTTTCTACAACAAAGTAAATAAAATCAATGACACGGGGTAAACAAATATACGTGATCATAGGTCATAAACACAACCTCCCTTTTATCAGTATAAAATATCAGCATTGTCTAACGACTCAGTGAGTGATTACCTTGCAAATAGCTGATAGGATTTTACGCTATTGTCAATTAGTCGAAAATAATTATGTAGGTACTAATCATGGTTCATGGTTTGTATTATTTAGTATTTCCATGTCATTATTCTACGTACATTTCTTCGTTTTATAAATTCTAAAAATCATCGATTACTGAAATCAATATTATTCTCGTCTTGACTGTAAAGAAAACATTGAAAACTGTGCTAATCATGAAAAGTATTTTGTGTCCTCTGTACAATCAGGGCTGGGCAAAATAACTGCATTGTCTTACTTCTAAATCTGATTTTTAGTTTAATTTTATTTTTATTTTTGGTTTGTTTGTGATTTTGTTTTACAATTTGTGACTCATAAATAAATAAATAATAAAAATAAAATAACTTTTTAAAAAAAAAAGACCTCAAAAGTTGGTGTAATTACATCCATTTGCGAAGTTTTATTGAAATCGGTTGCCGGAGAGTGCGCGAAACCGGAGTCTTCCCTAGTTTACCACCTAGACGTGGGATATTTTCTTCAAATTTAAATGGGCGCAATACCGAGGTACCCTCGTTCCAACAAAAAAAGAATCATCCAAATCGGATCGGTTATCGCGTAGCATACATATAAAAAAACGTACAGACGAATTGAGAACCTCCTCCTTTTTTTAAAGTCAGTTATAAAAGCCTATTTGATTCCATTAAAATGCACTTGATAAGCGTTCGGTTTTTCCAATTTATATTATCTTCGGTATGATTTTTCATGTCCATATAACCCCAATAACTTCAAAACAAAACAAAACAGTGAATCCATATTTTATTAAATTGCAATCACATAAAAATATAATTAAAATAGGCATTGCTGTAAACAATAAAATAAAAAACAAATCAATAATGAGTGATTCAAATTTTGAAATTGCCAGCAATTTCATGCTAGCAAATGCTACAATGAATTCTAGATTTAATGGCTTCCCAAAGTGTCCAAAATACTTGCAGAGTTCACCGTTTGTGTTAACAATCTGCCGTCCACTAACAAAAAGGCGGCTAAGTGACAAATGTATTTGACCAGTAGCAACTGTATAAACAGTAGCAGTATAAACTAAAAGTGATGAAGGCCCCGTGAGGCCTCCTTGGAGAAGAAATTTTCTGAATATCTAATGGTTACATCCTTGTACACATATGTACAATTGATAGTGCTGAATGACCCACATTCGTTGACGAAGTCAACAATTCGGTCACAATCAAGGTCTGCACTGACAGGTGACGTGAAAATTAGACAAACACAAGTTTATATTTACTGTTGGAAAATTGGATACGCAATTCAATAAAATATATATTCACTGTTGTTATATTTGAAGATATTGGGGTTATATGGACATGAAAAACCACACCGAAGATAATATATACTGGAAAAAACCGAACGCGTATCAAGTGAATCGTAATGGAATCAAATAGACTTTTAATGGAATTAAATACATTTCTTAATCAAATGTATTTTTTAAAGGAATCAAACACACTTCTGAATGGAATTAATCACAGCATAATCAATTTAATTACTTAAAATTGATGATGATATCAATTTGCTTGACTTGCACAAATGGAAGCTAGTTATTTATTTATTTTATCTTTTTTTTTCAGTGTACCTTCAATATTGTGTGTATGTATAATTTTCAAGTACAATAAAACTATACTTATTTTGTTACTTGTCAACTTCTATAGATCATGTGTTGTCACAAATAAACGAGCTATGAATTATGCATCCGTTGGTAAAAGCGATTATAGTTACTAGAATTTGAACAGTATAAATAAATTTGTTACATTGAATCCGTGAGATTTTTCAACTAGTCGGTGATATTATTGTACAAATACATAATACGTACATAGGTTGACATTGACTTAGATTCGTTTCATAATAATGATTTACGGTAACATTTTTCGTTTTATTTTAACGGTATTCTAGGTACATGTTCAGTACTAGGTGATGTCACAGTAGCTATACAGTATTTTTTGTAAAATATTAGCTAACATCCTCCCAGGACTATATTACTAAGATCGTAAACAACAGCTTTTGTTCAATAAATTTTGTACAAAACATGAAACTGTATGAGGGCGCGTGTCCACGCTAAGAAAAGTCACCGGATCTATGCAAGAAATCGTGTCGTTTCTACACACGAGCTGTGTACACTGCTTCGGCGCCAGACAAGAAAAAAATCTTATCTACCCCCGACACGACGCGCTCTGCCCCTATTGTTTGAGGCGGGGTGAGGTGCATTGTCAGTAAACGAACGTTTATGCTTGTGGACGGGTATTGCTTAGTAGTCAACATAAAATATCATCATCACCGTATCAGCCGGAAGACGTCCACTACTGGACAAGCAATAAGCACCTATGTGTTCTCTGTAGAAATCCTTTAGGTCCGCTGTTCAACATGGAAGACGTAATGCACTGACACATTTTACCCTACACACGTCTTTCCGAAAGCATTCGTATCGTGTACTTACTCATCATTTTCTCGTCTGCAACAGACATGACATGTTTTCGTGGCTAGATCCGACAAAGTTCTAGTCGTGTACAAGACCATTCTCGTCTTTTCTGTAGCAGACACGCCGAATTTCTTAGCGAGAACACGCGCCCTGAGAATGGAGTGAAGAAGGCGACAAAATGAGCACATATATAGGACAAACGCAATTATTATTATTTTGTTTTTTTTTATAATATCGAGTGACAGGAAGTCCTGCGCCTGATGGTAATCTACACGCCTGTCCATAATTTCCTTTATAGTGCTAGTGTCGATTTTATAATGAATAATATAAAAAAAAATACTACCATAGTTCCCGGTGTCTGTGAATAAAATTACTTTTTTTATCGTTCACGATCCATCCTCTAAGTTCACGACACACATTCACAGACAATCAATACATCAAAAGTAATAGGAAAAAAAAATAAAAACAAAAATGATAAAAAATAATATAAAAAACGAGTTCGCGAAAATTTAGTAACAGTAGAAAGAACGTCTTGTGAAAGAGTTCGTCCAGGGAAGTACTGCCACCTTACCTATTTCTGCCGCCAAGTAGTAAAGTAGCATTACTGCGTTCCGGGTTTGAAGGATAAGGGTGTCGGTGAATTGTATCGCCCTGGACGAACTCTTTCACAAGGAACTGCTTCTACTGCTACTAAAAACAGTAAACTAAATTAAAAAATACTAAACTTTTTAAATAAAGCTAGAATATCCAACATTTTAACGTTAAACGTCACCTTACATTTAATATGACATTCGTTCTACTACTGCAGCCTCATTCAAATTGAAAGAAAATATTCCACTTGTAAGTGTGTCAAATTTGGGGATGAATCCGACTTATTACACTTTACCCACTTTCCGTTAACCGATTTTTATAAAACTTGGGAAATAGACGTAATGAACACAGCCAAAGTGGATGAACAAACTTTTAAGATTGTTTTTTTTTTTGTAAAAAAAGTTATAATTCGTCGGGGATTCTCCATTTCGGTAATTTAGTGGCCAAATCGAATCTGCGTAACTGTCGTGGCAACCAAATTAGTGTAATTTACGGAAATCTGATGTTACCAGTCCGTAGACGACGTATATTAATGCTCACTGTGCAAAAATGAAAGTTGTAACCATTGAAATAAC